AACTCCAGAGCCCAACTCCAGAGTGCCCAACGAGGAGAGTGCCAGCGCCACGTGGGACGAAAGAAACAGTGACCTCCCAAGGCAGCGGCCACCAGTCCTGTCCCCTCCTGCTCCTTGTGACTCAGCCGGGCCTCCGTGGACCGGGTGCCCTCTGCTGGCCCCTCGGCAGCATGCTGTTCTTGGGGAGCTCTGCTATATATATAGGTTCCCTCTGCTGCAGGGCAACAGCCAGACTTTGCTAGCATGGCAACCCACTCAGCTGGCGCAGGTCACACGGGGTGGAGACTTGGTGCTCCCTGTGGTTGGAGGGGAGGGAGGGCAGCCTTGGGTCTGGGGTGGTCTCTCAGCCTCTGCCCAAGGGAGCAGAAATGGTGGTGGGCTCTAAGAGGAGATTGTGTGGGTTTGGGGACTGCTGGTCCCAGGGATGGTGAAGATGGCTGTCAGCCCATTTTACAGGTGAGGAGGCAGGCCTGGGGGACACACAGGCCAGGCGGCCCACCCTCAGGCCGGAGTGCTGCACAGAAGCCAGGGCTGTGAGCAGGGCCAGGCTGGAGCCCTCTGCGGTGCTGAATCACGAATGCACACTGGCAGGTTTTGCCTCTGGTCCCCAGGTGTTTCCTGAGCACCTGCCTGGCCTCCCGATGCCTGGCACAATGTGTTGTGTGTCTCTTTGCCCCTTCACTGGGTCCTGGGGTTAGGGAGCACGGGTCTGCATACTCCCCTGTTGTAGCCACAGAACCTGGTCCATCTCCTGGGGTCAAGGAGGTTCTGGGTCAACATTCACTGGGGATTCATGCCTGTCCTGCTGTGGGCCAGGCTCTGCGGAGCGGGGGCAGGGGACTCTCGGTGCCAGGTGAGGCCTGGCCACTGCTCCTTGGCCCCAGGGTTGGGACTGCCTGCCGGTAAGGGTGAGGATCAGCAGACCCCTTAGCAGAAACCTTTGCTTCTCTGTGTCCACTCTGACCACCTGACTGGTGGGCACAGGTTCTGCGGAGGGGTACTCGGAAGCCCTGGGCATTCCCCACACTTCCTAGAGCCCACCCTGAGTCTGTCCCTCAGCCATGATCACTGGAGCTCTTGCAGGCCACCCGGGACACCGCCTATCCCCAAACCAGAGGTTCTGTGTCCCCCGTCCTCTTCAGAAGGCAGAAGCCCACTGTGTGCCTGGCGTGGATCCTCAAGGTTGTCTGTGCCTCTGGCTCTGCCTCGCTCTCTCTCTCCCCACCATTGAAGGAGCTGAGGTTTCATCATCTCCAGCATGGGGGCAGGGCTTGAAGGGGTACGGGGGGAGGAGGGGCAGGGGAGCCAGGATCTGACAGGGCCACCTGCGTGATGCAATGGCCTGGGCCCCTTGCTGGAGCCTCTGTGCTGGACACAGCACCTGCTCCTCTGAGAGGTGGGGCGTCCCCTGGGCCTGGATTCAGATGCAGGCCCTGCCACACTGTCCTCCCACCCGCTCAGCTCTCTGTGCCTATTTCTGTACATGTGACAGTGGTAATAGTCTCAATGATCCCTGAAGGTTGTGGGAGAGGGGACATGCTGCCTGGGCACTATGTGGGCATCCTGGACCACATCCTCCCCCTTGTTCCTCCCTGGAGTCTGCAGCGGTCACCCAGACCCCCAGGTGACAGTGTGTCTGTCGCCCTTGAGACAAGCCCTCACTGTGAGCCAGACTCGAGGAATCAAGTCCAGTTAGTGCACCAGGTGAGGGTCTTAGTGCCTCACCTGTTTTACAGATGAGGAAACTGAAGCTCAAAGGAGCCACATTACTTCCTTCACAGCCCACGTGGAGCTCTGAGGTCCAGAGCCCAGTCTGCTGACCTAAGGCCTGTGGCATCAATGGCTGCCCAGTCCCAGCCCCGAGACCTGAAATGGGGGCTTGCAGCCAGACCACTCTCTTGTTGGCCCCAGGTTGTTAGACTGTGTCAGAATAGTCTAAACTCTCCCCTGCGACCCCTCCTATCGCCAGCCCCACCCGGCCTCCCTGTCCCAGACCTGCCCCCACCCAGCCTGACACATAGCTGGGCCTTGCCATCCTATGCCTCCGCCCACTGCCCCAGGGTGCCCATCCAGTGAAGGCTGTCTCTTCGGTGGCCGTAGGGCCTGCTGCTCCAGTCCTGCTAAGGACGGCTGCTTCTGAGCACTAGGGATCTGAGTCAGGTAACCCGGTGTACAGAAAGGATGTCCTGGCTGTGTGCTCTTGGCCATCTAGGGGAAGCCCCATGTGTCCCCAGCACCAGGCTGGGCCAAGTCCCCAGGGAATCATGGACAAACTTCTTGTGCAGGAGCAGGCAAGCCTAGGAAACAGTGGTCATTTTGTTGGTACACTGGCTGCACTAATTAGAAACAGTGCCAGCCTGTGGTTGGCAGGCCTGCAGGCTAAGGAGGCCTCCTGGAGAGGGGCTGGGGACACGTGGGCTGGGCTTCAGAGCCAGGAGGAGAGTGCAGTGGGTGTGTGGGTGTACTCACGCCTTTGCTTGGGCTCCCACGCACATGGGCACAGGGTTGGCCTGGCTGGCCCTGGCTGGAGAGACAGGCCGGGAGAGGGGCTTGCCGAGACCACCTGGCACCAGTGTCTGCCCTGACCAGTCCTAGACCTGCCTAGGTAGTGGCAAGTTGGACATCTCTACCGGAAGCCAGGTCCTCCTTCCCCAGGCCCAACTTGGTTCAGGGGGATTTCACAACGAGACTCGAGACCCATATCAGAGCCTGGAAGGCATCAGGCCACTGCCTGCTCCCGGCCCCTGCCCATGTAATGCCTCTGTGCCCAGCACCAGGTGCCAGCCCCAATCGTGTCTAACTGTCAACATAGCCCTGTGGGGTCAGGTCACTGCCCACAGGCTCAGGAGGGTGAGGGTGCCAGCCCAGGGCCACCCACCCCGGCTCCTGGCTCCTCATCCATATGCCAGCTGGCAGACTTTCTTGCCTGTGTGTGTTTAGGAACAGGCCTGAGCAGGTGCCCTGAGCTGCCTGACGTCTCTTGGGGGTGGGGGCGGTGCAGTGGGGGGATGCTGAAGTCTTT